TGTCATTTCGCCTTATTCTTTCTAGGACTGTACCCTGACAATTATCCCCTCTGACAAATCTGAAACTGCTATCTCCAGCCTGAGTTTTGACCTCATATACCCATCTACCTGTTAACCAGACTTGTCCACCTGGATGACTAGTAAGTATCTCAAATCTGAAATATACAAAACAGGATCCCACCCACCGTACCAGGGATCTAACTCAGGACCTTGTGTTTGCCTGGCAGGCACAGCACCACTGAGCTACATCCCTGGCCCAAAACAGAATTCTTAATTCCCTATGCCCAAGTTTTCCCTAGGTGAGTAAGTGACACCAATGGCACTATCCTTCACAATATAGCCTGACAGGCTCCCCATCCCCTGATCAATCAATCAGAAAAATCTTTTTTTTTTGGCGGTGCTGGGGAGGGGCTCAAACCCAAGGTCTTGTGCATGCTAGACAAGCACTCTAACACTGTGCTATACCTCCAACTCTATCAGCAGCAATTCTTCGTCTTCCTGTCTTCAAACCATAGGAGTAATCCCACATTTCTCTCCGCCTCCATTCTCCTGTTGTCTCTTACCTAGACTAGGGTATTAATATCCTGTATAGTTTGCCTGCTCCTACTCCTGTCCTTCTACTGCCTAGTCTCAGCAGAAATACAGCGTGATTTTTTTAGACTATAGGGCAAATAATGACATTTTTTTCTTCTTGAAATCCTCCAACAGTTTTTTCACACTTTAAAACCCAAACTCTTCACAGTTCCAACAAGACTTCAGTTTCTCTTTCTACTTTCTGTGTCTGCTTCAGAACACCAATTTTGGGGCTCTTGCTCAACCATGCTAAGATCATTTTGTTTTGGGAACTCTATGTGCTTTTCTCCATATGGAATGTTCTCATACATTGAGATCCCTCACATTACTCAGGCCTCAGATGTCCCCTTCCCAGAGAGATCATTCCAGACAATGCCATCTGAAATAGGGCTTCCTCTTTCACCTTCTAATCTGATCTCCTACATGATTCTTCTTCATGGTATTCGCTGTTAATTGAAATTACATTATCTGTTCATTTGTTTTCTGCCTATGCTCCCTTGTAACAGGAGGTACATGAGCCTAGAATAATGCCTAACACACAAAGATGTTTCATAAACATATAGTGAATTAATATTACTTTTATGATAAAATTTTTTTAGTTATGTGCTGCCAAAGCAAGCACTATGATAAATTTTTTTAATTTAACTATATATACAACTACTACATTGTAAGTAAATTATACCGGCTGGGCGTGGTGGTGCATGCCTATAATCCCAGCACTCGGGAAGCTGAGGCAGGAGGATCACTGTGAATTCGAAAGCAGCCTGGGCTACATAATGAGTTCCAGGCCAGTCTCAACTACATAGTGAGACCCTGTCTCCAAAAAGAAGAAGTAAATAAGTTATACCTATGGAGAAATACTAAAAGAGAATAGAGGACTAGATATGGTGGCGCACATTTGTAATCCCAGCACTCAGGAGGCTGAGGCAGGAAGATCACCTTGAGTTCAAGCGCAGTCTGGGCTCCATAGTGAGTTCAAAGCCAGCCTGAACTACATAGCAGACCTTGTCTCAAACAAGCAAACAAATAAAACAGTGGGCTAGAGATACGGCTCAGTCATAGAGCACTTCTCTGGCATACACAAGGCCCAGGGTTCAATCCTCACTACAATACAAAAAAATATTTTAAGTAGTTATGATTTTTTTTGTTGTTGTTAGTACTGAAGCTGGAACCTAGGGCTTTCACAATGAGCTATATATTCAGCCCTTTTTTAAATTTTTTACTTTGAGACAGGGTTGCTAAATTGCACAGGCTGGGCTCAAACTTCAGATCTTGCCTTAGCCTTCCTGACTGTTTGAATTACAGGTATACTCAGTGCACCCAGCTTTTTAAAATTTACATCATCTTAATGTTATGTTGTTGCTTCAATAAAAACCAATGGCCAAGGCTGGGGATTTAGCTCAGTGGCACCGCACCCACCTCGCAAGCACAAGGTCCTGAGTTCGATCCCTGGTACCAAAAAAAAAAAAAAAAAAACAATGGCTAGGCATGGTGGCACATGCTGTAATCCCTGCGATGGTGAGCCTCAGGCAGAAGGATCACCATAAATTTATGGTCAGCCGAGGCTACATAGTGAGGTCAAGGCCAATCTGAAGTATATACACAGTGAGACCCTGTGTCAAAGAAAAATAAACCAAGCTGAATATGGCGGTATACGAGACTCTGTCACAAAAATACAAAAACAAAAATAAAAAGCCACACCAAAAAAGAAGTTGGAACCCAGCCTAGGCAACTTAGCAAAATGAGACCCTGTCTCAAAATGTAAAATAATAAAAGGGCTAAGGATATAACTCAATGAAAAGGCCCTGGGTTCAACCCTCCATACCACAAAAAAGTAAAAAGGCTTTTCTGTCCTAGATAAAAGATGAATAAGGATCTGTCGGTACCAGGGCATCGCTACCCTACACATGGGTTGTGAACAGCTCCCGTCATCTGGGAGCTGGCCTAGGATGCGCTCTCCTCTTGAACATGACATCAACAGCACACAGTGCCTCTCTATGACTATGATGGATTAGGACACAAATGCACCACTCCATAATGTTATCTGAACAGAAACAAAACATGAACATTTTCCAAACCACAAAACACCAAACATCCCCTCTCCCATCTAATGAATAACTACTGTTTCTTTTCCAGTTTCAGCTTTGGCCCCACCTTAGTCTGTTCTCTCTATAGGTAACATTTATAAAAATGGTGAATCACAGATTTTTCGATATCCTGACAGCATCTAATCCAGAGCACAGCCTTAATTCCCTCAAAACTTTCAAAATGTGGGGCCAGGGATTTAGCTCAGTTGTTCTGCCGCCTGCCTCAAAAGCACAAGGTCCAGAGTTCGATCCCCTGTACAAGAAAAAAAAAAAAAAAAAAAAAAAAAAAAAAAAAAAAAAAAAAAAAAAAAAAAAAAAAAAAAAAAAAAAAAACTTTCCAAAATGATGAGTACAAGCCCAAATGCTGTCACAAGTCTTTCCAACAACACCTCCCTAAGATGCCACATGATTTCCGATGGAGTACACTCTCCCTTGCTGAATTAAGCAATTAGCCCAATTTGTTCAACTAGTGATGTGCCTCTGGTCAGCTTTGCCTAGGAGGCAGTGATAGATAGCAGTCATGACACCAGTGCCATAACAGGCCACTGTACCTGCAGAAGTCACAGAAACCTGTTGAAAAACTGACCCCAGGGTATAATCTCAGTGCTGGTTCTCTGAGCACATTTCCTGACACCAGCTGATTTTCTTGGCATCTGCCTCTTTTTCCTAAAGGCTGCATGAGCAGGGAAAAAGGCCTAGTTAATGAAATGTCCCAGTGAATAATGTCACAGCTAATTAAGGATGCCCTGCACAGCTCCCCTTCCCTCGTATTTCTGAAAGTTGCCCCCAGCGCAAGGTTTAGAGCAGTGCTGGAGGACTGACTCATGGGCAGAGCCTGAGGCAACACCACTCAAGTACTTTAAGCCACATGTTCAAGCCCAATAAATTAGCCCAGGCTTAAAGAAGTCAAGCTGTACACATGTAAGAATTTTAATAAGCTTGGAAAATGCTACCTAGAGCTTATACACAAGCTTACTGTACCAATGGGATTCCCTGCCACCAGCCACAGAGTGCTAAGCCCCTGACAAGAGCTGTCGAGCACATGGGATAGTGGGGACAAGAAGTCTGCTAGGTACAGGTTTCCCCAGGAGTTGAGGACACAGCAAATGGCTGGCAGCCAGATGGATGGAGAACAGAATAGAGCAGGCAGTTCAGGGGAGCCAACGGCATTTACTAGGAAAACATGCTGAGGGTTTCTCTGGTGGCAATCTGGTCCTCACACACCCTTCTAGAAACCAGCAAACACTGTAATCAATGTCTGCACTTATCAAATGCCTGTTTGTATCCACAACTACGTTGTGTACAATAGAGAGTTATTTAAGCAAACACGGTCTCTGACTTCTACATGCTGACACCTAATATAAATAAAAACAATAAATCTGTCCAAAGGATTACCAAACTAACTGAACAAACATGAAATAATCAAAAGCTTTTACCTTATATAATGCAGGGGAGTAATAACTAAAGGGTAAGTCATGGGAGATGACTCTCTAAACAGGGTGGGACTCAAATGGAACACTTACTTTGTTAAGGCTAAGTCTCTAAGGGAGAGGTCAGGTTTTAAGAAAAGCTTCAAGGGCTAGCTACTGGGTTTGGGGAAAATTAGCCAATTAGGGAAGAGGGACATAGGAACAGCTTGAGAGATGATTTAGAGGCAGAAATACAACTACAAAAAGAAAAAAAACATAAAATGCCCAGGAAAAATAGAGGGAATTGTCAAGCAGGTATACATTTCTGAAATGATTTTTTTAATTCATTCCCCCTTCTGATAAATATAAAAAGCTCACGTCCTCTTTTAATGTAATCTAAAAGTCCAAAAGTAACTATCACAACCAACATCAAATCAAAAGTATAGTAGGGGCCAGGGATTTAGCTCAGTGGTTCTGCCACTTGCCTAGCAAACGCAAGGTCCCTAATTCAATCCCCAGTACCGCACCCCCAGCCCAAAAGTATAGTAGTTTCAGAATCTGATTTTCCAAATAACACAAATCATCCCTTCCCCCAGGGCTGAGAACTGCCCGGGTAGGCTATAGTAATTATAAAAAAGGAAGGCCTTTTTCTGGGGGAGGGGGGGTTTGAGACAGGGTCTCGCTATGTAGTTCAGGCTGTCCTTGAACTCATTATATAGCCCATGCTGGCCTCAAACTTGCAAGGATCCCTCTGCCCCAGCCTCCTGAGTGCTGGGATATAGACATGAGCTACCACGCCTTTCACTGTCACTGAATTCTTAAAGAAGGGAGGGTGTAGAACCTGAGCCCACATGGGACCAGACAACCAACCGTATTAGAAAGTTGAAGAGAACAAAAACCCATGGCACTAACAAGAATTTGTAATAAGTACCTGATTAAAATTTTTGAAGGAGAATTCTTTGTAGATGGCATCTCTCTCACTTAATTCTGACCATCCTGCTTTCTTAAGGTCAAGTAGAATTTGGTTCCTCTCCTCTGCAGTCAACAGCTGAGAATCTGAGGACTGTGAAGAGAACACATTTCATATCTGAGAACAGAAGTTAACTTAAAACTCTAAATAAACTTACAAATATGAACTTACAGCTCTTTACCTTGAGAAGAAAGGCAGAAAAAAGTCAAGACAACAGATTCTAACCATTCTTCTGTTCTCAAAATACAGACAAAAATAAGGCTCTCTATACAAAGCCAGCTGCCTCCATACATCACCTCCACACCCCTTACTGCTGCCTCAAACTTCAGAATCAGCAACTCTACAGAAACAGCTGTACTTAACCATTACTTCTAGACTTTTTAGATACATCACAGAATAAATCTTCGGAAACTGAGGTAAGAACACCCACTCACAGAAACTGTGCAAATCCGCTGGCAAGAAAGTTCTGAGTAGGGATAGGGATTTAGCTCAGTGGTAACTGTGCCTGCCTCACAAGCACAAGGACTTGAGTTCAATACAAAAAGAAAACAGAAAAGTTCTGTATGCTCAACCTTTATGCAACATATACTATAAAGAGGAAAAAGGATGCTGGTGAACCAATTTTCTAGTTTTTCCTTCCTCTCAATTCAGGGTTGTGAATGCCTGTCCTACTGCTCTTTAAATGGTTTCCCATAAAGGGTTGCGAACTCCTGACCTATTGTTCTTTAGATGGTTTCCAATAACCTTGGCAGTCCTCACTGCACTACTCCCATGGATTGTTTTTTTGTTTTGTTTTGTTTTTTGTTTTGGTACCAGGGATTGAACTCCAGTCCTTGTGCTTCTGAGGCAGGCAGGGAACCACTGAGCTAAATCCCCAGCCCTCACATGGGTTTTAAATATTTGGGATTACTATCCCCTTTCATATCTGACAAAAGCAGATGCCTACAGAGGAAAACCCAAATGCACATTTACATAGGACTTTGTATAACTCCTAGGGATCCAAAGACCCTCTACTACAGGTAAAAAGCCCTTGCCTACTAAGTTTACAAAATCCTTTTCTCAGAACAAAGCTCCCTTTTCAGTTTGGTTGAAGGACTATCGAGTCCAAAGCACTTGTGTGCACAGTTGACACTTCCCACTACTGATAATAAAATTCAAAAGCCAAGATCCTTTTGGTTAACAGATCCCACTTCCGATGTCATTTCTTTTATAAACTAAAACTGTCAATTCCATGACCAGAGAAAAGAGATAGAACATTCTGTTAGAATCCATGAGGTGTCAGCCAATCTCTCCTGTCCTCTTCATTTGCAGGCTACTATAGGCTCAAGTGAAAGAGACATCACCAGGAAGATGAAACTAATGTTGAGGGCTCCTCATCATCAAATGGAACTGAGGCTGAGCTGAATGAAGCAGTACCTACTCCCACTTCTAGAATACTAAAATTCCTTGATACAGACATTCCTATACCTAAGAGGGTAAAAAACTATTTTACCTTTAAGAAACTTATGCAATGAAGAGAAAAAAGGATGCTATGAACTAATTTTCTACTTTTTCATCCTAGTCAGATCAGCTGCCCTTCTCACACATGTAACAAACGGTGAAAATAAGAATACCTCTTAATTAAACAAAAATATTTACAGGCACATCTGGAATCCCAACACTAAAATGCTGAGGTAGGAAGATCCAAAGTTGTAATCCAGCAATTGAGTGATTTAGCCAGGCCCTGCCTCAGAATGAAATATCAAAAGCGGGGTGGGGCTGGGGATAAAAGGGAGAGTGAAAGCCTTGCGTTCAATCCCCAGTACTCCAAAGAAGAAAAAAAAAAAAAAAAAGAAGAGCTTCTCGTTAATCTTACGATAGCTTTGAAAATTTTCACTATGGTCTACTACAGGAAATAATTTAAAATTTCTACTAAATACATAATTATTTGGTTAGCTCAGAGAATTTCGAAGAAACGGCATTATCCTTGTCCACACTGAGTAGCTGACTAAACATGTTGTCAGTCACGCAGAAGTCACCTGGAGGCAGTGCAACGTGCTCTAAACATTTCCCCTGGGTGGAGATGGAGGGTGTATGCTGCGGCTCATCACAGAGGTTGACCCAGCCACACGGACCGTGTCCAGGACTGAAACGGAGCCACTGCATCTACAGGACACCAAAGGCCCCCCTGAAGGCACACCCTCAGCAGAACCCTTTGTGATGGCCTTAATTTCTCCCCCCGTGGGAGCAGAGGGTGGGAAAAGCAGGGGGTTTGAAAACAGTAAAGTAATGTTGATTCAAGGGCAAGTGTTACCTTTTGCTGTGAGATGCTGAATTTCATTGTCCGCGTATCTAGAGTGGGGATATTACCGTATCTACTTGCCAAAAATTTCTGGAAGGCCTAAAGAGATCTTGAATGCAAAGTCACCCAGCAGAGGTCGTAGTCTTGATTATTCATTCCTTCCCACTCACCATAATTTTACTCCATCACCAGCACGTGGGCAGAGGTATGCCTAGAGACGCGCTAGCTGACAGTATGCACTCACATTGTTTTCACTTTCGCGGCCATAAAACACAGTGCTTCTCTTTCTCCATCATTGGACTACTTTAAATTGCTTCTATTAAACTTCAAAAGGGTTCTAACAACCGACTTAATGAAAGGAAACGTTGAGTCTAATGCAACATCTCGCCACTAGATGGTGCTACATGTTAAACTTTCCTTCAAATTAGAGGCCTCCAAAATACTAATTTCTGAAGCAGGAAAAATGATTGAACGCCCCCTTGTAAGTGGAAAGAAAAATCAACGTGTCACCAAAAACAAAAACAGTAATTTATTAATAATTCCTCCATTGAGACATGAGGATCGCCGCAAGGTCCAGGCCAGCCTGGGCTACACAGTGAGTTCAAAGCCAGCCTGAACCACATAGTGCGATCGTGCCTCAAATAACCAAAAAAGAGTAATAATAACTCCTTCAAAAACAGTCTCGCCGGGGATTTAGCTCAGTGGTTAGGTGGCCTGCCTTGCAAGCGCAAGGACCCGACTTCAATCCCCGGTAACAAAAAACAAACAAACAAAAACTAAAACTAAAAAACAGCCTCAAGACAGATAAATTAACTGACCCCGAAGGAAAGCCGCTGTCAGCGAGCCGCCGCAGAAACAAATGGAGCGTACGGTCGCCTGTGGTCATTAGCACCCGAATGTACTCAGGAGTCTGTTTTACAACTAATTTTCATATTTTTAAAAAAACAAAACTCGTCCTCGTCCGCTTCCGGTTAGCAAATTCGTAGGCTAAGGCAAGACTGTTAACCCAGGGGAGAAGTGGCGCTGCCAAGGACGCGCTTGCTCCGCGCCTCGCGTGCCAGCAGGTGCGGTGCGCGG